CTTCCCAATCCGGGAATCGAACCCGGGCCGCCGCCGTGAAAGGGCGGAATCCTAACCACTAGACCAATTGGGACAAGAGTATTCTTCTGACAGAAGCGTCTCATCAGTCCACACATTCTCTTCGAAAATCTGTAAAGTCCATTCTTCCTAATGTTACTACATGTTCAACAAAAGAATTTTACAGGTTGAGGATGAGAAGAGCGATTACATCCCAGTAAAGATGGATTTATTACCCGAAAATGCAACGAACAGCTTTCTTCCTCACATGTGAAATGCAGCTGGTTTTGGTTCATGTCAAGTACCATGGAAGAAAGTTTTGTGGACTTTTCAATTTTGCGATCAAAATTGTTCTGATGTCTGCGAGCAGGACGGACTAAGTTCGTCCAGGGACGTTTTGGCACCTTCCTACCGCAAATGCATCAAGTTTAGATATGAGATGAAGCCAAAATGTTTACGTCATTAGACGCGCCATATCGGCATGAAAAAAGTTACGTATTGGTTTTGGAACATATTGCTTCGTTGTTTGAGAAAATTAATTTTCTCAAAATTAACGTAAAAGCCAACATGTGTAGTATCCTTGCTGATCCATCAGTTGAAAATAGACCTGTATATATAACGACGCATCTAACGTTGTCTGAAAGTTTCGAGGTTCTAGTGAAGGCCCCAAGACCGGCTGCTGCTCCGATTGTAAACCTATCTAGTTTTCTTGTTAACCGACGAAGCCGTATTTCATGTGTCATTCGAATCAATGCATCATCAGGAAAAACGCTAAGCATCGTTTTTTTTCTATCTTAGTGCCATGCTGAGAAAATTCATTTTTTCTAAATCTGAGGTAAAAAGGTCAGATTTCTGCTTGTAGTTCTTAATTTTCTCCATCAGAACTCAAGTTTTATATGATGAAAGTATCATATTCGGAATCAGGATCGAAAACTGAGTCGACTAATTTATATTCCGAAACTTTTGGTTGGTTTCCATTTTTTTGGTGGAAATCTCGATGGCTTTTCAACGTTAAAATTCGACAAAAACTAGTGTTCGGATAGGATAGAAATATACTTTGTCGGAAGATGGAACTAATTTCCCGTTTTGAGTTGAATTTTCCGGTGGTATCAATAAAGTGGATGATGGCTGTGTACACTCGTATTAGGTCCTGCTTAGGCAGTACACGGATAGATTCATGTTTCAAAAGTATATGCTCCAATGTAATATGATTATCTTTAAGGACAATACGCAGCTCCTCAAACATTAGATTACGAGACTTGTCATAAAGAGCAAAGTCCATTAAAAAAGTGTTTATCAGTCTCTCTGCTAAAGCCACATGTACACGCCGGTGACTCTTCTAATCCACCTCTGGTGAAGAGATAGTCATTTAGTTGGGGGTTATCAACTCTACATCGTGTGTGATGTATTTCCAACCGCCGATCATACATTAATGGTAAACGAAAGAACGGAATATATTGTAAGACTAATCTCAGTTTGAAATCAGTCAGTTTATGTATTGAACGTATATCATTAGGCAGAAGATTCCATGCACGAATAGCCCCCAGAATAAAGGATTTTTCCAATAGAGCCCGACCTCTTAAATTCGACGAGATGAACCCCGACTCAAACTTCCGGTTTGGTAAACCTGGGGTCCCAGCATAGGAAGACGTTCAATAAGATAAGTAGCAGTTTTATTGTGCATGATTTTATGAAACAAACACATGCGTCGAACATAAATGAGCTCATTAATTGATAACCACCTCAGATCTTTAAGAAGTTTCACATGTGATGTGCCCCTCATAGCACCAGAGACAGCTAAAGCGGCCTGATATTGAATTTGGCTTAGGCAGTAGATATCATGTAACACAGTACCATCATAAATAACGATTTCATAGTTGAGAATACTCAACACGAAGACGTAATACACAGATTCAAGGGTTTGTCGAGAAACCTGCCTACTCAAAAACTTCATCGATCCTACAATATGTGACAAACTGATATAAAGGTTATTTATGTGCGATCTCCATTCTAAGGTTGTATTAAAGTTAAACCCAAATGCATATGTTTCTCAACATACTCTAACACGATGTCACCAATGAGCAGAGAAGGTAGACGGCCCTGGGTGCTTTCACAAGTGAATAGCATGCAAACACACTTATTAACGTTTAGGGGCAACGCCAGTTTCTTGGACCACTGGCTGATTTTCTCCAAATCTTGATTCAAAACTAACGCAGCTGCAATCAAATCATCTGCCTTAAGGTACAGCGAGATATCATCTGCAAATAGTTTAGAAACAGATTGAAGTAAACGTGGTAGGTCATCAATGTAAATTAAAAACAGTAATGGACCAAGGCAACTGCCTTAAGGTACCCCACAAGTAACAGTGAGTGGATCCGATGTCGCTCCATCCACGATCGTAACTATCTGCCTGTTGGATAAATAACTACGAAACCGGTCAAGAAGGGAATCGGAAAGGCCCTTACTGCGAAGCCTGATAAGTAGACCTCATGTTCTATCTTATCGAAAGCCTTAGCAAAAATATAGGAAGATTCCGAAATCCGGTGTCCGATCATTAAGGCTATTAGCAATGTTGTCAACTATAGCTATAAGTTGATTTATTGATGGGTCATTAGGAATAAAGCTGGACTGATTTTTACTTATCAAGTTATTTGTCCTTAGACCCAAGCACGAAAAAAAATCATGAAGCGGGCGCTGCATCTAAATTAAAAGGTACATTTATCTAGCTTCAGCTAGCTGCACAGAAATACATAAAAATTTCCTCTAGATTCAGCTAGATTGAAGCTAGTTTCAATTAGGTACAACTAGTTGCTATCGATTAATCTGTCAACTCATTGCTCGATTAATTGGCCCATGTAGCGGTCGTTTCAGCTAGTACACAATTTCATAAATAAATGTACCTTTTAATCTAGTTAATCTAGCTGTAAGTGGGCGCTGCAGCTACTTCTGCAGCTAGATTTTCTCGCTTACGTAGTTTTACTTGGGGAAAGCCAAAAATGTGTCTGTAAATAACACATTCAAGGACTTTGGATAAGGCAGGAAGAAGAGTAATTGGGCGATAATTGTTGCAGCTTCGAGAATCACCGCTTTTGAAAAGAGCGTGGACGTTCCCTAATTGCCAAATAGACGGAAATTCCTTCTTACTCAAAGACACGTTAAATAAAAAAGTTACAATAGGACTGATTATTTCAGCTCCACTTCTCAAACCGTGGCACAGGTTCCAACATGAATTTTGAAAAAAGAGTGCCCAATGGTCAGTTTTCGGCACTCATAGAACGATTTTGTAGTTTCAGAACTTTTCTATGTTGTGTGATCTCGAGATCACGCGGCTCCCGTTTTGCAAAACAAGGTGACTAAACAAGAAAAAAAGACAAAAGTCTAGCAAAAACTCACAATATCTGTCGACATAAAAACAAAAATCCATGAACGAATGCATAATGTTAGTCGACATAAACAGATTCTATAATTGGTTTAATCTACGAATGTGAAAATCGTTCAAATATGTATTTAGCAGAGCCGTAAAATTTGGGTGTGGGAGTGGGATGTACACATCCACAAAAATAATTATTTATCGTTTCCGCACTGCGAAATATTTTTAACTTACACACACCCCTAGAAAATCTTTTCAATGCGAGAAGCATTAAAATGTTTAAATATGTCTCGTCAACATTATGTTCAAATATATTCCGTCTGCCATATATATATAGCACATTATATACCATTTATATCATTAACGACGATATTCGAGTTCAGTGTCCAAAATGTGGAACGACGATGATGTCGAATGTGGTGAATTAAAAAATATTGAATCAAATCTTTTACTTAAGCTAAAAAGGAAAAATTGGTGATATAATGTAGGTTACACGTTAAATGTATATAAATGTAATCTAATGTTGGAGAAAACATAAAATATACAGAGTATAACTGTAACGAGACGTTTTATTTTTATACAAATTGAATACCGACGATTATTATGTATTGATATTGTGTAGAACCGAATGTACTTTCGAGACGTAGATATTCATTAATTCAAGAAAACGCTTTTCGAACTCCAAGACGATTGTTACAATTCGGACAGTAATGTGTATAACTTTTACATGATTTTATGCAAAATGGTAAACAGGCCAAAAAGAATGTGAATATAAATAAACATATTGCTAATAGGAAGGTAAGTATTGTGGCAGCGGTTTCTGTTCTGGTAATCACTGTCGCTCCACATTGTGGACATTGAACTTGAATCGGTTGTCTTGGCCAGATGAACTGTGGAGATCCTGGTCCCATTGTTCCTATTGAAAAAATAAATTGTAAGAATTCATACATATTTCAAATTTCTTTTTACAATTTTGTTACCCTGCATAACAAATGGTGGATTTTTTTGTTGTGAAACAGCAGCATCATAAGAGGGTGGTGGATTTTGTTGGATGTAATTGCCAGTAGGTTGTGAATAAGCTGTTGCCATTACAGGTTGTTGTTGTGGTATAGTTGAATTTTGAGAATTAGGGTTTGCTACAAATACTGGTTGCTGTTGTTGTTGGTCCATATAATTATACTGTTGTTGCAAAGGTTGTTGATAACTAGTTCCAGTTGATAGTTGACTGTATGTGCTAGGTTGTTGTTGATAGACAGGCTGTTGCCATTGAGATACGCCTTGCTGAGCGGGGGTGGGATAGTTATTACTATTATAATTTTGTGAATTCAATGTGTCATATGTATTAGGAGTATAAGATTGTTGTCCATACATAGGCTGAGAATACATATTTTTGTTATAGACTGAATTACTTAATAAATCGATAGAAAAACAAATACAACAAGGTTATTCGCTTTTTCCCAAACAATTCACACGGCACATGTTTTCAACCTGTAATCAATCAACCGAATACGAACGTAGGATAAAATGTACTTGGTATAGCGCGCTGCATGCTTTTTTCACTTACTAAAATTTATCTACTTCACACATTTTATTTTGAGATATGATCATACTATTATATCAGAACCTCAGTTCGATAAGCGCTCTTCGATTTTTATTGAATCATATGTTGTTCTAGTCATATCTTTGTACACCAGACTTTTCAATCAGCCCCTTTTAATAGATAGACAGATATGGACCTGTATCGGTATCTATACCGAAACACCAAATATCGAAAATTCGGAACTTCGGTATATACTAATAGTGAAAATAACGACTTTTGAGTTGGACTTTTTTGGATTTTTTTATTTGAAATGAGATATTTTGCTTATGTTGACTGAGAATATAAAACTGAAAAGCACACACAGAAAATCTCTTTATCTATTAATAATTGCCTCTTGAAATTTCGTAAAATTTAATTGAAAAATCCTTCGTTCTTATTCCAGATAATCTCATTCTGAACAACTTTCGCATCAACACTTTTTTCTCCAAAATTCCATGGGACGGGGCAACCCGGAATAACTCAGTCAAAACTTGACCGAAATATTCTTATAGATACATTTTGATGTCCTCTATCGATTGACATCAAAACTGACGTTATTAAATTTGAAAATTTTATTGAAATGTACCACGACAAAAACTCGAGAAAAACTAAAAAAACATTTTCTTAAAAACTGCAAATCCAGTGACCAAAGAAATTGTGCCATATATGTTTCAAACTGTCCTGCACAAACCCGTAAAAAAGAAGAGTGACAGGACCCTTCTCTGGAACAGATACCTGAAGACTGTTGCGGTTAACGTCATAATTATATCAGTCATGATAGTGAAAGAATAGGGTGGTGGTGTTGTTGACAAATGGTTATAAAACTGACATTCCACTGTCAGAGTTGAATGCTCGATTTTGATATGTTGACTGTGTGAAAATGTCAAATTGACAGGGAGTTAACATCCTATATAAATTTCAGTCCATGCTGTTTTTAGAGCATGTTTCAGAAGGCCACAAGCGAGAATAAAAAATAGCTTACGACACTTGGTATTCCAAGGCGGTCACCCATCCTAGTACTAACCAAGCCCGACGTTGCTTAACTTCAGTGATCGGACGAGAACTGGTGCATTCAACGTGGTATGGCCGTAAGCATGATGAGAGCGACGCTGAATGATTAAATGTACATATAAATATTGGTTGTACCTTACCAACTTTCTTTTCTTGACGAGCCAAAACCAAAACAACTCCTTAAGTTTGACCTCGATTTTCTCCTAAACGCTCCTAAAATTTTCGAGATTTTTTCAGGATAGAAACTACTTAGTAGGATCTATAGCTTTGCCCATACAACTATCCTCGACACTTTCCATTTTTCATCCTCAGTTTTCCAGAATACCCGTTAAAACCTTACTTCAGGAAAAGAATATTGAGCTATTATGACTCTATATTCCTGGTCAGCATGAAGAATTCAATGTACTTCAATGTTTTCTGAGGCTTCTTTGTGTTTCCGTACCCCAGTTTTCTAAGAGGTTTTCTGGAAAATCGAGGATGAAAAATGGAAAGTGTCGAGGATAGTTGTATGGGCAAAGTTATAGATCCTACTAAGTTGTTTCTATCCTGAAAAAATCTCGAAAAATTTTAGGAGCGTTTAGGAGAAAATCGAGGTCAAACTTAAGGAGTTTTTCAAGTAAATTTAGTACCACTCGTATGTAAAGTTAGATTGAGACCAAATTCCTTCATCATTAGAATCAAATCGTCAAGAGCTACAGTTTGAAACATATATGGCACAATTTCTTTGGTCACTGGATTTGCAGTTTTTAAGAAAATGTTTTTTTAGTTTTTTCTCGAGTTTTTGTCGTGGTACATTTCAATAAAATTTTCAAATTTAATAACGTCAGTTTTGATGTC